AGATGGGGGTTCCAGCCTCTGCCCATGTAGATTTCAGTCTGTGTGGTTGTTTGAGATTTACCCTCGCTTTCTGTTTGGTGAAACCATTGTTGTCAGACAAGAATGGAGATCTCTAACAGAGCTCCCCAAACAGCAGTAAAAAACAGATAGTGGTTCTTATCCTTTCCACATAAAAAAAAAAAATGCTGGACATTAAAGAGAGAAAAAAGCCTAAAGATGAATAATGTGCAGTAATCCAAAGCAACTATCCGAAACCATCTGTCATTACAGAAGAAGTATCACCATGTCTTTCAAATTGTTGTTGAACCCATAGGGGACCAAGTGCATGTAACACATGGTCCGGTTCTGATCTGTGGTTGCTGAGCAGCATGGTTGGACAGCTTGCCCCCACTCCCCTCCACCACTGTCCGACCACGCAGCTAGCAAGGAGACAAATACTTAATAAGGGCTCATTGGTCTGGCTCTTATCTGGTAGCAGGTGTGCAGTGGAGATGATCACCATCATTCAGCACAGCAGGGAAGGGGTCAGCTCCATTCATTACAAAAGGAGATAGTAAATGATCAGTGAGGCAGGGGCTGTGTGATCTGCCAATGCATTGGATGTTTACTAGTAAATCAATCAGTAATGATGGGACTGTGAATGGGCAGACATCACAATGTACACAGTGAGAATCTTAGACTGCGGATGGGGCTAGTGCTGTAGCTCCCATACAGGATTGCATTTAAATTGGGCTCCAGCCTGGGTAGATCTACAGCCAGCACAGAAATGTTAAATGAACAAGGAGCTACACATCGGAACGGGACCAACTGTTACATACACCTGGCCCCCTGGAAGGTTCAAGGATTTTTGAATGAAGGCAATAGTTCTTCTTTAACGCCCCCAATGTAAGCTGCTAAAACACAATTTGTGAATGGTTGTTATCAGTTACTATCCTTCTTTCCTGTCTGAATCATGTTTTCAAAAAATGTATTTGTGAATATTACTAGCCACTGACAACATGACATTTAATGCATAATGGATTACGGCAGATTTCTGAGGAATCGTCAAGAAACATCTTAAAAAGGAACCAAATATGGTTTGTTTGACCACATTTTATGGCTTCTAATACACATGGGGACATAAAAGGAATGCTGGAGCAAAGTAAAACCTAATTGTGCTATTGTCCAGAGCAACCAGCCTTCAGTTTTCATACTCCAAGAAAAAATGTCAGCTGACATCTGGTTGTATTGAACACCACATCCACCTTCTCCACTGCTTTTTATAAATGGTTCTTATTATGTTTATGCTCATACAAGCATAACATAAGTTTGAGATCTTTCCTCTACCGGGTAATGTAATCAGATGAAACTGCCTCTTGTAAATTTTTGCACTGCCTCACCTGTTTGGAGCAGTTTCTCAGAATGTTGTGATGTTCTAACTTTGAGAAAATTACTTCAGAAGATAGTAAATTTGAACAAAGAAACAATTGACCTGTCCTGACCTGAGATTCTGCCCCGCGGTGTTCAGTTCAATAAATCCACCTAAACATCTGTTTTTACAAAAGTCTACGGTCTAGCTTTTCTTTTCCCACCTAATAAAGCCTCCTCTACTCCCATGCTTTCTTCTGATTCAGGCAATGGCATGGTCAGCATTGCTGCTAGTGAGGTTACTAACTTGGAACTAGAACCCGACTTGTATGGCAGACAACACCATTACAAAATCTCCATATCAAAAGTACAAGGGTAGACGGGAAGAAGATGCCTTTGTTAACTTATCTTTGAAGGCGAATGTGCGGTCATCCTCAAAATGCTTTGTCAGGTCTGTTACGTGTAGTAAGCATGTACACTACTTGGTCATAAATTTGTGGAAACCTGACTATCACACCTATGAGCTGGTTGGACATCCAATTCCAAAACAAAGTGCATAAAACCAAGCTCTCTCTATTGACAAACATTACCATACAAAGATATTTTGGACAATTGAGTGCTTCTAGCCTTGTGGTAACAGTTTGGTGAAGGCCATTTTCTTTTCCAGCATGACTATGCCCTCTGTGTACAAAGCCAGCTTCATAAAGACATGGTTTGATGTGAAGGAACTCAAGCAACCTACAGACTCCTGATCTCAACCCTACTGAACACCTTTGGGGTGAATTGGACTGATAGTTGCAAGCCAGGTCTTCTCACCCAACATCAGTACCTGACCTCACAAATTCTCTTTTGGCTGAATGGGCACAAGTTCCCACAAACACCCCTCCAAAATGCAAATGCTAGTTCCAGGTCACTGACTGACTTATTGAAGTATGACAGTCCTTGAGACTGGACCTACAAAAGGAGCAGCAGCAGCTTTTCCTTCTATTATGGCACAAATTAAAGTATTATCAGCGCAACAACTGTGTGGTTTTTCAAAGTACTATGAACTCATAAAGGTGACAATTGTTGCTTTAGACTTGTGAGATGCTTGCTTTATAGTCATTGCAGACTTGTTTTTAAAAGTGAAAGTTTAGGGGTTACCATCATTCTCTTTCCTTCAACTAGTCAGTGACTGACCTGACAATTGTGCAGTCAGTGAAGTTGGAGTTTCAAACCCGCATACTCATTCTGGATTAGTGAATCAATGTACACGGAAAAGTAAAGGGAGAATGAGAGCCCCCGAACTTTTACCTTCTCAAAGAAGTTGGAAAAACGCATCCTTTAAGTTATTAATCAACTCCCCCTTGACATCAGCCCACTGTCTCCACTGGCAAAAAGAGAAAAGTTGGTGTAGAGACCCGACAACACATCTACTAGATTCTCAGATTCAGGTCGACAGTTTCCATAGGAAGATAAGCTGTAACAATAGCCAGTTTTGGAAAACTATATAAAACATTTTCCTACTTGGGCCAAACTGATTTATATTTCAAAAGTGACAAGTCCTCTTTAAATCAAATTGCCTTATTTATTGGCACATCCAGTGCAATTTTGAAATCCCACGTAATATACCGGTAGCCCAAGAAACCAGTACAGAAATTAGGCAAATGTTACTCGATTGCTAGAATCTGACAGCAAGGCTCTATTGGGGATTACACCTCATTACAATTAAAAGATCTTTTTTGTACATTTTGGCCAAAATTGTAAATAGCAAAAGCACAAAGACAACATGCTGGATTAAAAACTTGCATCTAAATTCTAGGCAAAGAGCAGTGGTTTACAGTGTCCCCTAGAAATGATTCATATTGGCTTCTCTTTGATTTGCCCACACTGAAAGTCGAACTCCAGCCAAAACTTTTATTTCGAGGTTTGGATGCAGTGGAGAAGGGCTAGAACTTTCGTCAGGTTTTTATTGCTGTCAAAATCCCCATTATGGAGATTTTCCCTTACTTCTTGTTCCATCGACATTCTGCACTGGCACCCGATCTAGAACATATCCTGGTCACTTTTTTATGCCCAGTACATCCTTGTTTATAAAGCCCTGAGGAAGGAGGAGTCTTGAGCCACCACAATGCAATGGATACCCACTTTTGCATCATATTCAATAAACCAACTGGATGTATTCAGTGGTTGTGGCACTCTACTTTTTTGTATACCCTACAGAGTGTTCCAATGACACTGGGACAGGAAGCAAGATACAATTTCCTCAATGGAGTCACTGACAACAGTACACCTCACAAAAGTTCTAATCTTTCTCCATGCTATCCAAAACCAACAACAAAAAAGTTTTGGTTGACGTTAGGCTTGTTATCAAACAATTCAATTCCTTTTCAAGATAAAACAAGAGTAAAATAATGTAATTTCCGCCAACTATACACTCAAAGCCACCACAAATGTAGTACATAAACTGACATCCTGGACATGGGTCCTCTTTCTAATGTTTCCTTAGACAACTGCGAGTCTCCCACGTTCCAATGAAACTGTTTCTTGAAACAGGTGCGAGCTGCCCTTTGGCAACAATTTCTATGATGCTGCTATCTTTTCCTTGGTTATCAAGGCCTTCATTTTTAGACTGATCTTATGAGTTATATTGCCCACAGCCACCAATCAGAATGTCTAGTCTGATTGGTGGGTGCAGACAGTATTATTTTGAGATTTTTCCAGCCTAGATTAAGCCAAGTATTAAAAAAAAAAACAAAAAACACACAAAAAAGAAGGATCTGTGAAAAATGCAGCATGGATACGGTTACTGAGACACCTTGCACCTGTTTCTAGAAGTAATAAGATACATCTTCAGATGGGTTGAGGAATACTTTGTTAGGAGACAATTTTTGGGGTAGAAGGTTCACATAGTTTAATATTTCTAACAACCAGCGCCAGAATGGCAGACAGAAGCTGCTGGCACCATAATGGGTTAGACGTCTTGTCTTCGGGTCTGTGTTCAAAGTTCTCCATTCACAGTGTATCAAGCACCAGTGTTTTTTCTATGTATTGGTTTAAATAACCATTTATTCATATATATATATATTTATATATATTTATATATATATATATTGATGTATAAAAATTGATAATATGCTGTATTACAGGGAACAGGTCCAGGGGAGGCAAAAAAAAAAAAGGAAACTTAAAAGATAGGAATAAGCACTAAACAAACAAGAGGGAAGACGGGGTGGTGAATGCAATAAATAAAAGTCAAAAATAGCAAAAAACAAAAAGAGTACATGGAAAATTGTGCACAGTAGATCTGTATAAAAAGGTAGGTCGAGGAGCACATCCAAATACAAAGGCTTGAAAGGGAAATTGATGAAAACCTTGGAATAGGTTGTCGGTGTGGGGTTATGAAGTTCCACGGTTGCCAAAAGCCCAAAATCCATCCAAAATGGTCCTGACGGAGTACGCGACAGGGTTGTGTCCAGGAAAAGAAAAAATGGTGGGAAAAAAAAAACCATCAATAAAAATAAAAAAAAATAAAATAAAAAATAATAATATTAATAATCCAGGAATATAAACAGAGGCAGACGGGGTCCTGGAACTCCTGACCCCCCAAATCCAGAGTCTCTTCTGCCAAAATTAATGTGCAATATTTTGTTTTTCCTTTTTGTATTTATTTTTCAGAAAGACTCGTCGTTCACCACAGACATGTCGCCCTTGGGGGTTGAGGAACGGGATGATCCTTTATCTGTGCATTCTGAGCCGGAGCCGCTCTGGTTCTGCTGTTCTGAGCCCGCGCTGGAGGTGACTGTGGAGGACGAAGTGGAGGAAGATCGAGTCTTTTCTTTAAAGTCTGTGATTATTACCGTCACGTTTCCCACTGTTACCGCAAGCTGCTGTGCAGTACTTCTGTCCACGTTTTTCAGCCTGGGCCTGGAGATAAAAACAAACAGAAGGATTCTTACTGGTTGGTTTACCGCTACAAAAGCTGGCCATCCATGGCTCGAACGCCATCCAGTTCCTGTGGATCATCTGACTTTGGAGTCATGGGTGGCCCACACCAACACCACCTGCCTGGACAAATTTTGATTGGAAAACTGAAGGGGCCGAGTGGAACAAAATTGGCTGAATACTGCATCCATACAGGTGCAGTGATAGTGTGGGTATTCTGACAGCTGCAGGTCCTGGTTATCAGAATACAATAGCCAGCAGTGGGAAATTTTTCCTTCCACACTGTCTGGCGAGTATGAGGAAATCTATTGCTTTCTTTTGTTCAGCTTGCTGGTCAGCTTAGGAAAGAAAGAGTAACAAAGACGAATGTGATATGCAACTGTAAAAGTATTAAACATGCAGTAAGCAATAAAAGTAAAATTGTACAGGATTGTAAAAGGCAATTAAAGTTCCTATAAATCTTTCCAAAGGCGACACAGACTGCTATAAAAGCCATTTTTCTTTCCATGAAGGATTACAGCCAGTCAGGTATTTTATGGCTTTCTGTTTTCTTGTTGGGGGGTGTCCTCCTAACTTCCTGTGTGGTCACCAAAACAGGAAGCAAATAGAACTCTCCGCCACAGGGACACAACAATAAAATCTAGACAGAGGATTTAACCCTTTGCCTCTTAACCACTTTGTGACTGAGTGTAAAAAAAAACCTTATCGCATGGACCCAATTCTGCAACTTTGACATGTATTTGTAAAACTGTACATATGATCACAACTACGAAGGTGGATTATAAAGTGTTTTTTTTTGTTCCAGGACAAATTGGGTCTTTGTTTGGTGGTAAATGGTAAAGGACAGCTCCGGATTTTTTTTTTTTTTTTATAATTAAAAGGAAAACTGGCCCAAAATAGTAAAAACATCATTGTTTTATCTTAGCTGTATATTTATTGCTTTTATCATCACTTACCACCAAAGAACAACCCAAAATAAATTCTCCTGCTCCTGATCGCAGTGATACCACATATGTGTATGTTTGTTGTTTGTACCCATAGTAGGAAGCAGAAACAGTAGTGCGCATTTTGCCTTTTTAATCCTACCTAAAATATACTGACACCGATACTAATTTCAAAAAAGTATCCTCAATTTTGACCCTTACCTTGATCCTAACACTAACCCTGACACAGAACTAGATCAAACCTTAAAGCGGAGTTCCACTCACCCTGTCAAAAAATAAAAGTCAGCAGCTGAAAAAAACTGTAGCTGCTGACTTTTAAAAAACAGCCACTTACCTGCCCCTTAGTCCCGCTGTGTGTCCCCGCAGCCCGTTTCACCAGCTGTCCTGGATTCCAGGAGGCCGGCATCTTCAGTGTGGGCACCCGGCTATGATAGCTTGTGGCTTCACAGCCGGGTACCCACTGCGTATGCGTGAGTAGCGCTGCGCTTCATGAATGGCCCTGTAGTCTGCTGGGACCTGTCACATATCCCAAAAGACTACAGGGATGGAGGACACCTTCCGTTTCCGATCACCTAAGTGGGAGCGGGTACCTGTCAAATTCGCTTCCCCCCAAAGGTGCCAATCCTTAATGGGGAGCGGGGAGGCAGTCCTTAAAGTGAAACGTCCCCTTTTGGGTGGAGCTCCACTTTAATCTAGCTATTTTTTTTTTTCTTTTTCTCACACACGGTTTACATTTTACTCCATTCAAAGGAGAAAGAAAAGCCAGGGACGGTCTGCACAGTGACTAATTGTGATAGCCAATCAAATACTATCACAGCAATCAGCTAATTAGGAACTGGGACACCTGATACCGATCGTTCGTATGAGACTCGGGATCTCACAAACACACATGTGTGGCACCCAGGTTTAAAGTCCACTCCTGGAAGCCGCATATATGTGTTAGTGTGAAATAAAGGGGTTAATAGGAATATTAGGTTCACTTTTTCATGACACATCTTTAACCCCCCACCACCACCCTTCCACGCTGCACTTTATGAAGAGTCTGTTGCATCAGTGATGTCAGCTTAGATTTGTAGTAGTGGACCAGAAACACACAACCATTGTGTAACACATGCCATGCATGAAGCATTGCTTGCAGTTAAAGGCTAGATTCAGCCTTTCATAAAAATAAAAAGGGGAATTTCCTAAAGTGTATGTCCCCAATGGGGAAATTTACCTTTTCTATTTGTCCTGGTGACCACTGTCAGAAAGAGATGAGTGGTCACATTCCGTAGCCCCCCAACCCTAAACCAACCCTTCTTACTAGATCCTGGAGATCTCCTCCCTTAATTTGGCCTCGTTGAGAGGCTCTGGATCTGTGAATGAAAAGACTACAAGGCACTTCTGCCACTATGGCAGATGGTCTCGTAGATCTCAATGAAGTACAAATTTAGATACACAGAATATAACTGGATACTGACATTTTTAGGTAAAGTTGATCCAGGGAATATCCGGTTGCCTCTCAGGGGATCAGGAAGGAATTTTTTTCCCAGCAGGAGCAAATTGGATCAATGCTTTGCTGTTTTTTTTTTTTTTCGCCTTCCTCTGGATCAACTGTGGGTGTAGGATTATAACTTTTTTTTTTTAATGGTTTAACTGGATGGACTTTTGTCTTTTTTCAGCCAGACTATGTAATTATGAAGTGACGTCACCGCACCTGCAGTCCACCAATACTTCCTCTAGTCTCGTAACTGAAGGCCTGTACCTTGGTATTGACCAACAGCCGGAAGAGTAGTCTGCAGGAACCAAAGCACTAAATCGACTGATTATGGTGGCAACGCAATGCAAAAAGATCTCTTGCACATGGGCTGGCTAAAACTGTTTAGTGTAACTACAAGAGTATTTCCTCCGATCAATTTTCTATTTTTTCCATACACCCATACAACGTACATCTATACAGCCATTCATGTCAATGGAAGGCTGTACACTATGCCTGAGCGGTAGTTATGCTGAACACACTCAGCCAAAAAGTGTGCAAGGGCCCTAAATGCACATTTTTGTAAAAAATCAATGTGGGTGCATTTTTTAAAATTTTTTTGCAAAAGGATTGAATTACCAAACAAACAAAAAAAGTTTTGGCTCCACATACATGTTAATAATACAGCCCTCCTATGTTTGTCAGTGGCACTTACCTAGAAGTGTGGTTAAAGTTGCCGATCTTTGTCACTGAATTTGCAGACTGAATACTGTTCACTTCGCTCTGTGGGTCTCTGTGAATATCTGGCTTTGGTCTGCGGGAGAGACAACCAAAAACAACACACGCTATTTAGAGTCTGTTTATGTCAATACAGACACACGTGCCAAGTCATCAGTCTGTTTGGCTAGCATGAGCTGTACAATGTGGAGAGATAGGGAATGCTCACTGTCACGTCAGCCTGAAGCAGGGATCCCGTGGCTCCTGGCAACGGCCTGAACTACAAATCCCAGCATGATCTACCGATCCTCTTCTGGCAAGCCAGAATGGCCATTATACTGTTTAATGGAGCCTGTGAGCACAGATATAAATGGGATCCCTGGCTGCTGAGCTGTGCAATCTCTGATCTATGATCCTGATCGAAGAAGCATGCAGAAAGGAGATCAGACCTATCAGGCTTTACTGGCAGAGCCCAATCCTGTACCTGTAAGTAGGCCATTCCCATATTCTACCTGCCAAGGTTCCCTTTAAAGAGGTATTAAACCTGAAAATAAAAAAATGTAATATATTGCAGCTTACCAATCATTAGATGTGCTGGCTGCATTACATTTATTTTTTTTAGTTTCTTTTCACCTGGTGATCTGAGCAATAACAAAGTTCCTGTATTAGAGTGCCCCCACACTGAATGAAGGAGCACAGGGGGCACCTTTGGACATGGATGTGTATCATTCCTTCCCCCCCTTCAACCTAAAATGCCGATAATACAGAACTGGGTGAACAGATCAGGAAATCTCATTAGTTTCCAGAGAGGAAGGGTTACATTAAAGCAGTATAAAACCTCAAACCAAAAATCTAATATATTGCAGTTTACCAGTCATTAGAAATGGTGGCTGCATTAGTTTCTTTTTTATGCTTTTTTTCTCCTCTGCTTTCACCTGATGATCTTACCAGTAACACACTTTCTATGTTAGAGTGCCCCGAGTAATAAAGGAGCACAGGGGGGCACCTTTGGACAATACCATTGTCAGTCTGGGGAGAGGGGAGTGTTAGATATACTAGCAGATTTAGATACACTAACAAACTGAAGCCAAACTCCAGCTCACACTTTATAATCAGTTACAGAAAACATTTTTTCCCCCCGTGGGATAAACAAAATCTGATCATTTTAAGCACCCCTGTCAGTGTTGTTAAATGGTTTGTCCTATCCCTGTAACTGAAACATTTGCTGGAGAGCTTGTTCATTTGTCTGTGCAAACAGCAGACTTACTGGCTAGATCACCAGATAAAAACAGAAGAAAGAAACCCTATAAAAGAAAACGGATGCAGCCATTACATCTAAAAATTGATAAGCTGCAATAAATTAATTTTTTTCTTTTGGGTTCAACAATGCTTTAAGGGGGATGTAAAGGCAGAATATAATAAGACTTATGAAATTTGTAGTTGAAACAGGCTAAAAACACAAATAAAATACTGTACATAAGGGAGCTGTTGTACCTGACAACAGATTTGTATTTCTGTCCATCCGATCCTAGATTTACACAGCTCTGCCACACAGTACAGCCCTGTATGACAGGGTAGGAGACCAAATTTTTCTCTGCTGCAACTAACACTTAAAGCTATTGTACCTTCCCCAGCCTGTGACTAGACAGTGAAAGGAGAAGCAGCAGACTGATGAGCTCATCCCTCTGCTCTGTCTCATCAACATGTCCCTTGTTTGCATATAAGCACTGCAGCACAGCTGGTTCCCTCTGCTGTACAGAGATTACAGGTGGCTGAATCCAAGTCAAATTCAGTTACTTACATTTAAAACACATTTAGTGATGTTTTAATAAGCAGAGAATGTCATTAATTTACATCTTTTTTATGTCTATCCATGTTCAGCTAAAAAGTGGAATTCCAGGCGTTATCCAATCTTAAAAATGCTCGCACTCACTCCTAACACCCATGCTGACTAACCTGTGTAAGAAAGATGTATATACTTACCTATTTTCGGGCTCCTCCAGTCTGGTCATGTGATCTCTCCCATGTCAGTCAGCGGTGGCTGCAGGGGAGAGGAGATGTGCTCGACGACAGCTGGTGAGACCTGGGAGCAGCGACATCACCCATAGGCTCTGATTGTCCCTCCGTTGTCAGCCCTCCCTCTTCTCCCCTGCAGCTGCCGCTGGCTAACACAGGGGAGCTGCAGCACGTGACCGGACCAGAACAACTCTTATTTATTTGGGCCCATTTTTAATCACGGCTCACGGTTTCCCATGCGTGTCATTCATTTGGCTCATTTCATGCTGCCTGTACCTGCCCACTGTGGAGTGACAAAGCAGGGACAGGGTGACGCTGCTGTAGTATGAGAAGCAAGTAATGCACAGGGCATATGGTCTAAGGTGCAATTAAGGCGTCCCTGTCATTACAAGTCACTTGTATTAAAAGTTTGAAAGTTATCCTATTGTGTAAAGGAGTTGTAATATTTTGGCAGGATATCTGTATTCTGGGCTGGCAGCTTCTTCACACCAAAGGATCTCCACTATTTCCTTGGTTTGTAATCGTGACTGTCCAAAACCGAAGACCACAACAGAAGTTGAATTGTCCAGAAACAATTTTTTTTTCCAAGATAAAAGACTATTACAGAGCCAATGCGTTTCAGGGGGTCATAAAACTCCATCAGGGCTTGAGATTGGATTTCAGCATACAGTGGATTGACTGTAGTACATGCAGGGTTTTTGAATCAGACTGGTGAAGAAGCACAGAGTCTGTCAGCAGCTGGTTTAGTTTGCCGTTCCTCTACACCCCCGAAATGCATTGGAACTAATAGGCTCTATACTTACCCTTCCAGCATCCTGTGCATTGCAATACCACCACTTTGCTACTCCCTGTCAAAGTAATAGACACCTTTGGTAGGTTGAATATTTGTTATCACAGCCATGCTTTGTGGTTCTTGAATCCAATAAAGCGGTCTGTAAATTGCTTCCAAACATCAGATAAAAATTTAAATTACAGTTCATAAACTGGTAAACTGGCTGAAGGAGGAAAGTCTTTGGAGATCCTATATGTGGGAAAGCTGAAGTTCTGGCATTAGCAGTGTGGTCTACAGGTTGTCCAAATGGCAGGAAGCCGGGGCTATGGCATGGAGTCCACAGAGTTGTGGTTCTGAAACGTTTCAGTGGATTACAATAGTATTTGCATAATCTTACAAAACTTTAAGCAAATGTTCCTATGGTAGATACTTTCAAAAAAAACTGCATTTAGTTTGGTTACTGTTAGTTTGGTTGGAGTTAAATGGACCTTATAGCAGATCATGCATTACATAAAAAAAAAAAATTCAAGTAGTATCAAATTCATTACTTCAAAAGGAAGGATGTAAACTATCTATAGTCTAGGGCAGGGGTCCTCAAACTTTTTAAACAGGGGGCCAGTTCACTGTCCCTCAGACCGTTGGAGGGCCGGACTATAGTTTAAAAAAAAAAAGCAAAAAAAAAAAAACTATGAACAAATGCGGACGCAGTACAGGAGATGACCAGAGACTGCGGACATACAACGGCGGCGGGGATACTGGGCCGGCCGCTCCATAAGACGCACAGACATTCCCCCCCCCCCCCCCCCAAGTGTGTCTTATGGAGCGAAATAGTGCCCCACCATTGGTGTCAGTGGGAAGAATCGTGCCCCATCATTAGTGTCAGTGGGAGGAATAGTGCCCCATCATTGGTGTCAGTGGGAGGAATAGTGCCCCATCATTGGTGTCAGTGGGAGGAATAGTACCCCATCATTGGTGTCAGTTCGAGGAATAGTGCCCCATCATTAGTGTCAGTGGGGGAGGAATAGTGCCCCATTGTTGGTGTCAGTGTGGGGGGGGGGGAATAGTGCCCCGTCATTGATGTCAGTGGGGGAAGGGGATAGTGTCCCAACATTGGTGTCAGTGGGAGGAATAGTGTCCCAACATTGATGTCAGTGGGAGGAATAGTGTCCCATCATTGGTGTCAGTGGGAAGAATAGTGTCCCATCATTGGTGTCAGTGGGAAGAATAGTGCCGCATCTTTGGTGTCAGTGGGAGGAATAGTACGTTATTGGTATCAGTGGGGGGGGGGGGGGGGGAATAGTGCTCTGTCACTGGTGTCAGTGGGAGGAATAGTATGTCAATGGTGTCAGTGGGGGGGAATAGGCCAGACAGAGGCACTAGGCACTCTGAAATGTAAATAAAACATGAAAGAGTTCCAGGCCTCGTTCACAACGGGTGTACTACAGCGTACACCCGTATGAGGGCTGCGTTTACCCGCACTGGGATGCGCAGGTGTTCCATGCATCCTCATGCAGGCAGTCCAATTCATGTCAATTGGGACAAGGCTGCTAAATTAACACAGCAGCTGCTCCCAATCTGACATCTGTGCAGGTAACCCTGTAGAGCCCCAAGAGCACACTGTCTGCATTCACCCCCGGTTCACATATATGCGGCCATGCGGGCAGCATTTTGCACAGGCACGAGAGCCCATTCATTTGAATGGACTCCCGTGCCACACAGGGAAGAAGTCCCTGCACTCCTTTGGAAACCGCAGCCCGCGCGGGAACCTCGGTTCCCAGTACGGTTGTGGTTTTCAGTGCGGGCGGCATGCCATTAGAACTAATGGCACCCGCCCGCAGGTCCACATTTCTTTGTGCGGGTGGTGCGGCTGCACGTATTTTCGTGTGGATCCGCAGCGGCACCACCCACACAGATGTGAATCTACGGTCAGGGACATGCACCCACATATATAATCAATTGTCGAGCAGCGGGTGTGTTCATGCAGCCACTGGGTCCCAAATGACATGAACGGGATTGCCTGCACAGGGATGCATGGAATACCTGTGCGGCTTAACCATGTGTTTTTACAGCCCCCAACTGCAATTGTAAACAAACCCACAGAAGGGAAATCTTACAATAGGTATACTTGTTCTCATGTCAGCTCTATTAGGCCGCATTCACACCTGTGAAAAGGCCAAACATGGATTACATTCAAGAAACCCAGTGGGTGTTCCTGGGGATTAGCCCTGTTGAAAGCTGCCAGTTCCCGCAGCTAACCATGGCCACTGGTATGTGTTGGCCCAGGGAGCTGTCACGGGCGATTACATGTGAG